TTACATGCTTATTGGTCATATGTATTTCTCTATCTATGAAATGTTTATTCATGATTTTTACCCATTTCTCTACTGGATTGTGATTTTTTATTAATTTGTGTATATACATATATATTCATCATAGGAATCCTTTGTTATTTGTGTGTATTCAAAATATTTTCTCCCAATGCACACCCAGTCTTTTTTGCTTTTTGCTTTTGTCTTTTGATGAATAAAAGTTCTTAATGTTAACAAAGTCAAAGTTATCAATAGTCTGTTTTATAGTCAATGGTTTGTCTGCATTGTTTAATAAATCTTTTTCTATCTCAAAATCTAAAAGTTCTTTGCTGATGATGTTTTCTGCTTTATATGTGTGTGTGCGGCATGGAGGAGAATTACAATTTCATCTCTTTCAGTATAAATAACCATTTTCCAGCTTCACTTAATGAAAAATTCCCCTTTACTTACCTAAAATTCCACCTCTATCATATACCACAGTTCTATACATGCAAGGGTATGTTTCTGTGTTCTCTAATCTATCCCTTTGCTCAGTCTATACCTGCACTAATATCACACCCTTAAAATTTCTGTGTGTATGTGTGTGTGTGTGCGTGTGTCTTTGCCTTCTATAGTTCCTTTACACAGGGCCCCCAAAATCATTTGGTCTGGCCCTGCCAAGGCAACCGGAGGAAGGACTCGAAATTCAATAAATCTAGGAGTTTTTTTCATAGCTAATTTTTAAGTAGATAATTTTGTGTGGCCATGAATGATATTATAAATATCCAAATGGCCTTGGCAGATAAAAAGGTTCCCCACCCCTGCTAGGGCAATCTTGAGGAAGGGAGCCATTAATCATGTGAACTCAGCCTCTTACTAGACAAAATGGGGTGATCTGGCTCCAAACCTTTGCCCTTGGATTTTCTCCTGTTGAGTTACTGGAAGGTCCAAATAAGATTACATAGAGTAAAAACTGCTTATAATACTGTGAAGTTAGTAGCTTGGTGTACAGGGAACCAGGATTTCATCAGGTAAAGGTGTCTACAGACAGTGAACAGCCCTGAGCCCTGCTAAGTCCAGTAAAAAGTTTTGTCTTAATGCCATAAGGCATTAGGATAATAAGGAATCCTGCTCTGGGATTCCTGAGGAATGTCGTCTCCCTTTGCTTCCACTGATGTCTCAAAGATTTTGTGGCATTTAGCAGACATTAGCAGATGTTTTACCTAAGACAGGTAAAAACAGTTTGCTTTTGGAGGCAATCAGGTCTTTCACCGTTGAACAGCAATGTATATGTGCTGCCAAACCGAGCACTGCACAGCAATGTAAACGACTTCGTACACCCCCCACCCCCCACCCCTGCACAG